TCAATTCCTGGACCAAATTAAGGACATTCAAATCAACAACGACAAACTGATGGTATCCCTCGATGTAACAGCATTATTCACCTCAATTAAACCAAGGTTAGCAAAAGAAACTATATCTCTGCTCCTCGCCAACGACACAAATCTCACAAAGCACACGAAGCTTCAAATTCAAAGTCACTAGAACTCATCGAACAAACGAAAGGGACACGAATAGTGTCACCAATATCATGACTGATCTCAGAAGCAGTCATGCGAAGACCAGAAGCCGCGATATTACCAGTGATCAAGCCAAAAATTTGGATACGATATGTAGACGACACATTCGTTATCGTCAAAAAGAATGAGCTATCATTTTTGGATATATTAATCACTAGAACCGATACAGAACAACTAGAAATTCAGGTATGTAGGAAACCCACCCATACAGATCAAATTCTCAACTACAGTGGCAATAACCCAAGAGCACATAAAATCAACTGCGTACAAACTTTGTTCAAGAGGACGAGGACACACTGCAGCATACTGGCAGCACGTAGAAAGGGAGAGAACTATCTGAAAGACGTACTTCGAAAGAACGACTACCCAATCAACATCATTAAAAAATACCAACCACACGCAGTGTCAGGACCCAAGTCAAGCACAGAAATCAACAAACGGATCACCTTAACTTACATAAATGGGATATCAGAAACCGCAATGAGACTGCTGAAAACCTTCGAGATAGGTGTGGCACACAAACCGACAAATCAATACAGTCAATCCTATGCAAACCAAAGGATGAAAAAACAAAAGAAGATAAATCAAACATCATCTACAAAATAAATTGTATCAATTGCGACAAACACTACATCGGACAAAGTGGACGCCCTCTTCAACTTCGCCTACATGAACATCAACTAGCAGTCAAACGGCATGATATCTCCTCACTTATATCAATACACGTGGACAACTGCGGACGCACATTCGATTGGTAAAGTGTGGAAATCGTGGACAGAGGAAATTCGAAGACGACGAGGGAATTTTTAGAAGCCTGGCATTCATGTCAATCAGCAATCGACAAACACATTGAAATCGATCCAATTTATCAACCAGTCAGTCAAGTTATGTGCAAATATAGAAACAAGTATCAAACCAATAAGAGACACAACCAAGACAAAGAAATAAACAATAACAAATTTAAGGTCAATAAGAACGAATCAACATCGAGGTGTACAGAACAAGCTGTGAAACGCATGTGGAGAAATTTGAACACTTAACTTCTATCTGAAGTTTGTGCTGATGATGTCGTCCAGAAGAACGATAAAAGCTCCACTACCGAACCATCGAGCTCAGAGAACAAAACTCCACCAAAAAACTTTGAAGGGTTTTTGTCATTAATCGAAATTTTATTTTACGATTTTATAAATCGCCCATTGTTCTCATTCTTTTATTTCGTTCTCCGTTATACTCGAAACTGGATATTTTATATAAAACAATGATAACTCCGTGTAACGAAGACTTTTCGAAGACTATCTTTATTAAGAATGTGGTCCTAGGTACGTAGGCGATACTCAGTCTCACAAAAGGACGAAACGACCGCCTAGTGCTTCCAGGTTTTCCATGACTGTCTAACTTCAATTGTTTCAAGTATTTATATTACTGTAATCTCCACAAAGCCCCTTCCAATATTAATCAACATATGCAGACTAGTAACTGGCTTTAAGAGGTATTTCCTAAAGTTTTAGTAAGAAGTCGTGGCCAATGGATTTCCACCGGGTCAGTTATGAGATAGTAACTCAATGAAGACAATGGTGGATGTGTCGCTCAATTTCGCGGATTAGTTGAAGTTAGATATTAACACCGTTGGATGTCAGCCAGCACAGTGTGGTCTAGAGATTAAGTGTTCGCGAGCGAGACCGATAGGTCATGTGTTCAAATCCCGTGCACGGGATCATGAATGCACATTGCTGAAAAGTCCCTTGATTGGACGAAACGACCGTTTAATACTTTCAGGTTTTCCACGGTGGTCTAGCTACAATCGACTCACGATCTCAACTATTAATATGCCTATAATAACCACAAAAACCTATTCTGATATGAACACATGTTTGATATAATTTTATAAGTTACAAGATTGGTCACAAGTTTACTTACAAATGTCACATTTGTCTATTATATGACAGTGACCACGGTCAGGACTAGGTGAGAACATAGGACCAATAAAGACTCTAGACTGCTCGTACAGGTTTTATGCGTGATTGATCCGGTCTACAAATTACTGTTCTCTAATTTGCGGTATCATTACGTTATACAATAACAGGGTACAAGTTTTAACACATATAATATGCTAGAAAAACCCTAGATTTTCTGTACATAAGCGAACCTTGAATTAAAGTGTTTTCTTCTATATTTCACGCCTTTTCTCTCGTGCTCAAATTGTTGTGTAAATTTAGCCCACAGTTTACTAAAAGAGTTTAAGAAACCGAATCTTGTATTCAATTAGGATACATATCAATAACTGAATTCCCTAAAATAAAGTAAAGTTGACCATTGTTTCTTCTTAGAATTGATTAATCTAATTGCAATCTTTAAATAACAACAAATTAACTAAGATGTAACAAATCAATTATAGATTGAGATCATGAACCGACTGATGTTAGTCCTGGAAGCACTGAACGGCCGTTTCATCTTACTATGGGACTCCTCAACAGTGCTCATCCACGATCCCGCTCGCGAGATTCGAACTCAGGGCCTACAGTCTCGCGTGCGAATGCTTAACCTACTGGATCACTGAGCCCGCATCCAATGGTCTTAGTGTTTAAATTAACCAGTCCACGAAACTCGGCCACCATCTTCCATTATACTGAGTTAGATATCTGTCTGTACCCGACACGGATTAACTCCACTGGTCACGGCTTCTCATTAGAACTCCAAGAATTACCTCACGAAGCTACTCATTAGTGAGCATATATTAATTATCAGTATTGGGGTTGTGGAGATTATTAAGTTTTTGATTCATGATCTCAATCAAAAAATTTATTATTCTCCACAAACAGAATACTGAAAATCGATTATTCATCGTTTATTGATTATCTTCAAAGACTTGGAAATGTTAATACCATCTGAATTGTTAATCGCTAACGTAAAGTTTGTCGGAAACACACACAGCCACACCCACACATGGATTCATATTCTTCTTCTTTGATAGTTATTCATACACTATAGGCAATATTAGAAAATTGTTTTCACTAACGTATTTCTATGTCAAATCAATAGTAACACACTCATTGTTAAACATTCAATGCCGAGAATATGAGGAAAACATGAATTAATCATTTCTAAACAATATTGATGCATTATGTAAGACATCAATTAATCGTCTACCAGAAGGGAGAGGAGTGTAAATGACTTAAGATGAATAATATATGAATGAATCATTTTATGCATAAACGTAAGTGATTTATGCATTGAATCTAACATACCTTGTTAGATATTTAACTTTGAAATGATGAAGATGAGTAGGCAATTATGTAACTTTATAAAAAGAATATTCGTATATGCCAGCAATTACAATTACATTATGAAAATAATTAGGGTTAATTGTTAAATGCGAACCCCGAATGCGCTAGTAAGGACGAGAGTGGGGAGAGTCAGCTCTCTCTCAAGTGGCCACGTGCATACAACTACTGGATACTCAAGGCAGGGATGTTGTTTATTAAATTGAGAGAACGAAAAACGAATGTCCGGCGTTTTAATCGGGTTGGTGGTTACGGAGGATCCACCTAGGAAGGTTGGAAAACCCTCATTCCAAACCAATGGTGCACATGCACTCCAGTATCCTGAGTGAACAATTGGCGTATGAACCTATTGTTGGTCACCAGTAACCATAGAAGTGCATCTCCTTACGTTACTCCACTTCCTTGTGGAATAGACTTTAAGTCGAAGGCTCGGGATATGGCCCTCTAAGAAAATCACGTGCTTCGGTTTGGACACCCGAGCAGCCCTCACACAAATTGAATGGTTCAGTGACGCATATCTATTTGGTGCCTCCATGTATCACTGTTTATGTGTTTAAATAAATAAATAAATAATATTTTACAGTATATTCTAACAAAAACTGGCTAATCAAGATTATTATTTTCATTTATAACTACACTAACTATTCAATTATGATGTTTTAAGAAATATCATGTTGTATATTCTTGTTTGCCTTGAAATTTCAGTAATCGAGCGATTATATAGTCAACCAATCACGTTACACAGCATCATTGAACGCACTTTATTGACGGTATGGGGTTGTGGAGACTGTTGAGCTTTTGCCTGGGATTATGAATCGATCAATGTTAGACCACCAGTGAAAATCCGAAATCACTTGACAGCGGTTTCATGCTAATACGGAACACCGTTTGATACCGGCTTAGTGGTCTAGGGGTTGAATATTTGCACACGAGAACGAAGGTCCTGGGTTCGAGTCCCGCAAGCACGATCATGAATGTACACTGCTGAAGAGTCTCAACCTAGAAAGAATTGGCCTTCCATTGCTTTCAGCTTTTCAATGGTGGTCTATTATCGATCAATTCATGATTTCAATGAAGAACACTTTATTGACTTTGGGTGGTTGGACTCAAACGACAAGATTGTTTAACATGGTATCAACGGCTACTCAGAAACAGAAGATTACGAACATTTCTGTGTTAAAAACATATCAACAATAACCCCCAAACGTCCAGTAGTAGCATCTCCAATTGTCAAAATAGATGATTCATGTTCATATTATACACAAACTATATGTATTCACAAGATAACAGATATATTTATCTGACAGGTCAAACAGAATGCTAATATTGATTGCTTTAATCAATCGAACACAAGAACCTAATCAGATTAGGAAAATATTCCAATTTGTCAAATTAATGGAAATATTGGTAGTAATCATAGTACAATTATTACTACTTTTATCAGTATTATCAACATCCAAATCATCCAAAGCATCATCATCATCATCATCAAAAATTACTTACCAAATAGCATATTCACAATCGCTGGTGGCAAATTTAATGTTACATGTAATAAAGAAGCTATTGCTTGTGATCCAATAAAATAATAAACCATAGATACATGTTTACCATTTCCTTTTGTTTGTAATATCCCACCAAGTAGAATACAATTAGTTAACCATGTTAATATAATTAATGCAATACATAAACATAATACAGTTAAATTACTTGATTGTAATTGATAATGATTAGAATCAATAGTTGTACGAATCATACGAGCTAATTCATGACTTTCATTCATTATTCATTACTTGTCTATTTTGTATCATTAAGCATAGATAGAGTTTATTCTGTCAATTAATGGAACACTATTCAGTGAAGTCATTTAAGCTATCGTTTGCAATTGTTCTACTGTGTACTACTACATATGACCATAGGACATTAGATGTTACGTGTAGATAGTTTATTTCCAAGTGAATAATAACTATCAGTGAAAGGACTATAGACTGATGCAACACAGCAACTACTTGACATTCGAATCATTACTTTGATTATTATTATTCCTCTTTCTTCCAACTACTCAATATTAATTTCCAATCGATACTTCATTATTATGTAATGTGTCTACTGGATGAGTATTATTTCATTATTGTAAATCAGATATAGAGCAGTGATGAAAGAGAAAAAGACTAATTGAAAATAAATCTCTTCTTTCGATTCATTCCTTCATCATTTACCAAATATCAAAATGGGAATGTTCATTATCGAGATTATTATTACTATTTTGTTGTTGTTGTTCTCTTGATTGAGATCATAAATGAATCAATCAATGTTAGATTATCAATAAAAACCTGGTAATATTGAACAACAGATGAATAACTATTCGAAATGTATTTCATTTATATGATATTAAAGAAAATGAACGGAATTCTTTTTATTCCATTCCGATTGGCTGATTTGATAGAACAGAACGTTTTAAACTTCTATCCTGATTGGTTGATTCGATAGAACAGAATATTTTTCATTTATTCTATTCTGATTGGTTGATTCGATATTGATGAAATATTAAAACAAAATGGATTACATAATATATGTACATGAAATTCTCAATTCACATGATTGGTTCATCACAGATTCATTTATATGAATGAACGGTATCTTTTTAAATGTGTTAAATAAGATTAATTTCAGTTCATTCGGTATTGTTGTTTATTTGAATCTTTTCACTTTGATATTTACGACTGTAATTGATCAGTGTCTCTTTTATTGATAATATGTTCAAACTGTGCGTTTTGCTTCGATATTGACATAATTCACAAGCATGGATTGTGATTTTCAGTGGAATCCAGAACGCCTGTTTGGTCCTATTTTGAATTCGTATCTCATAGTTGATGTTCACTCTTGGACTCGAACCCAGTACCGTCCGCTTCAAACGCCATCGCGTTATCCACTTAACTAATGAGACCTGATAGCCACTTGCTTGTGCAATGAATTGACGTTTAAATTCACTTGATATTTTTTGGTTGTATCTTCCCATTCAGGTTTAAGACTGCAATGGATCAGTCTCTTTTTTAATAGTATATGTGTATACTGTGCGTATTGCCTATTATTATGTAGAAAGTGAAAGTAACTTCTGTTTGATAACAAGGACAATTTGAAAACTGACAGAAGTTACTCGGAAAATAACGTTTCCATTTAGTGGTTAATTATAATTTTTCGTTCTTTAGAAAATTTGTAGATCATGGATTCATTTTTTCCCATGATTTTCTCTGTACATAGCTATAGAGGCTTGAACTAAGCTGTAACAGCTATTATGTTTTATCTGATTGTCTATTTTATTAGTCATCAAACTGATCAATCACCTTTAAGTAGAATGAAATAATCGATTACAAATGTTGTGCTTCGTACTACACATTGATAAGCAGCTAAGTTATATGATTCATTTGATCGATAGGCTGAGGAGCTGATATTAATTGCATGGCGGTTGTGGTGTGTAATTAAAACAAACGAAGCACATTCTTTTAAGATGAGCTTCAACTAATACGAAACTTGAATCAATAATGATTTCCTCCTATGAGAGTCCGATCGCAAGACATTCGATAAAGTTGACGGGAATGTTAGATCACCAGAACTCACTTGGAAAAGGACCTAGTCTGATAATTTTATTTAGACAATTTGAATTTATTTGTTTTCGCGCCAGAGGCGCTCTTTTCATCTTCATGTCGTATTTCCGACTTGGGAGAATCTTGAATGCTATCGATCCGTTGTGTCTTTTAGTATGCTATTTTGTAACTCTTCCCAAGAACGATTTTGTGTTGTGAATATACGTTTTGATTTGTGTTTGTTGTTATCGCTCGTTTCTAGCAGTTTGCAGAATATACTTTGGCGCAAACATGGATCTTGCTGAAGTGGAATTATTGCTTGAGCAGCATATGAAACTTATTCAGAAGTTGGCGGATGCAAAGCCTATGTCTAATATTTAACCAAGCAGTTCAAATCCTACTTCTACCGCACTATCAGTTGATGGTTTCGCAAACAATATCTCCGAGTTTCATTACGATCCGGAATCCAATGTCACGTTTGATATGTGGTTTCGACGTAATGAAGACTTATTCAAATTTGACTTTTTTATTCAATATGATGCATGAAAGGTCCGATTGCCTCTTCGAAAGTTGGATCCAAGTGAACTAGACAGGTATTTCAACCTAATTCTGCTTCTAAACCCACGCGATCGCTTATTCTCGGACACGTTTCAGTCATTGAGTCAATAATTCCGAGTCAAATTCTCACTATTCAATGTGCGCTATCGATGCTTGAAGCTCACTATGAACGAAGATGCTGATTTTCTCACACATGTGGGTATCGTCAACCGAGAAATTGAACACTTCCGGTTGAATTCGCCTACTGAAGACCAATTTAGAGCACTCATTCTCATCTGCAGTCTCCAATAGCAGACGTTCAGTGATATTAGAACACGCTTGCTTTGTCGATTGGATCAATACCCGAAACTAACTCTTAATGATATGGGAAATGAATATCAATCTCTAATCAATCTGCAGCGTGACACTACGATGATCTAGTGTGGTTTTTCAGATCGTAACAAACTTCATGTAGCGCAACAACCACCCAACCCGCATGAATCTGCTCCAGGGACACCTAGTTCATGTCGACAGACAAAAACATATCCTCTTGTCCCATGCTGGCTTTCCGGTACATGGCATTATGTTGAAGCTGTCCATACAAACAACATCGGTGCAGCAAGCTTAAAGCTGTGGGTCATAAAGATGGTTTTTTTCAAGAAAAGAACACGAGCAGCTCCAGATGTGAAGGCGCGGATCGGCAAAGTAAGAGCGGCATATTTACAAAGGTAGAACGTCTGCAACTCAAAACAACTGTCAATCAAAACCAGAGTCCGAATGTTTAAAACAAATATTAAGACAGTTCTACTGTTTGGGGCAAAATCCTGGAGAACTATCAAAGCCATCATCCAGAAGATGCAAGTGTTTGTCAACAGTTGTCTACTCAAAATAATTCGGATCCGTTGGCCAGAAAATATTAACAACAACCTACTATGGCAGACAACAAACCAGACCGCAGAGGAGGAAAAATCAGGAAGAAGCGCTGGAAGTGGATAGGACACGTATTGAGGAAAACACCCAACTGTGTCACAACGCAAGTCAAAAAACACATTACACAGATAATGGAGACAGATATGAAAAAAATGAACGAAAATTGGATAGAACTTAAAAAGAAGGCCCTGGAAAGAGTGGGTTGTAGAATGGTTGTCGACAGCCTATTCTCCATTTTGGAGTAACTGGCATAAGTAGGTAATTAATTGATTAATTAAGTATCACTACACAACTGCTGTACTAGATTAGCCTAAAATAGTCTATGAATTGATAACATTGTAATCAAAACATCTCACTTTAATATTATCATATTACTGTCTATCATCATCAGTAGTTTCATAAATACGAATAAATTACAATAAATAAAAAACTATTGGATTCTAATTGTACTGATGATTGCAAGTGACTGATAAGAGTAATCTACACTATTGCATTTTGATCAGTGATCATTTTGAATGTAATACAATATTGAGATGTTCGATTGTTTCTAGATAAACAGCTTAATACTATTTAATGAAACAAGAACACCTACTACGAGAAATGTTTTGCCCAAAATTCACCCTTTTGCTGACTGCGAACGAATAGAGTCAGATGAACATCACGAGTTATGAGCACAGAAGTACCCCATCTCATGGTTCAAGCGAATCCTTATGCTTTCTCGGTTTTAGACTCTGCAAATATGGAACAGTTTTCCGTTATTGACATTTGTTGATGGTCACTGTATGCTGAAAGCTAAATGAAACCACTGATTGAACACGTCCCACTCAATCTTATCGGTCTATAATCATCAGTCTACACACAAGTGCTAACGATAGCCAGGTTTTATCTAGTATAATGTCATACTTGAGCACTGCTAAACAGTCATCAGTTAATACAAACCAGACATCGAATGAAGCTTGGTTTTGAAATATGCTTTAACTGATACCAGTTTGTAATGTAAATAATCTCCAAATTGTATTAAACTGCATGAGTCTTTCGAGCACAATCAACTTTGGTCCCTTATAATTGATTTACTTCCACCTGTTAAAATCCTGTTGTTGAATTGACCAACACGAACGTTATTGAAGGTGATGTGTGACACAGGAAGACAATGATAGTATTTTATGATGATGGTTGAAAATGGTCGATATATAACCCTTGCTTCTTGGCAATCTTCATCAAAGTAAACCTTGAATCTTAAGGAAATTGGTGCACTCTGGACTATTTCACATGACTTTATGCGAAAGAATTCAAGAACATTATCCGGCGCGGCTATAATGAAGAGGAGACGGCTAAATAAGAAGCCCAATAATCGGACATCCTGTGAACACAGGTCACTCAATCAAGACAGAGTTTGCGTTCAAAATCAATTACAAGGTAAGTGGAAGTCTTCCAATTACAATTTGACTGCATCCTCTTTGCATTGTCGAAGCATTAGCCATACATGTTGAAAAACCCGAATTGTGTGTGCAAAAGAGACCGGTACAACCTCTTCTTCCTCCGAAAGCTTAATGAATAATAATATTTTTCTTTTTTCTCTCTTTCTTCATAAACTACGTCCTTTACAGCAATCGACTTCATCTTCCATCTCCCTCTTAAATCTTCGACCCCTAACTGCTTTATTTTTGTTTTCACGATTGTCGTGATTACATTTTTTCTTAATTTCAACATTTTATCCCATCATGCTGAGCTATGCTTTCTCAGTGACAATTTTCCTATCTATCTATTGATGAATACTTAAGTCATTACCAATCAAATGATCAATAAACTTTCCTTGTTTAAAAGAAATTGTTTCCCAATACCTTTGTTTAATTAACATTACTCTCAACATGTCTAACAGACGTTTATTATCAGTACTATTATGGTCATCCTGTAAAAAGCTATATGTACTTGCTATTTTATAGATTTGAAAATGAATTCGCCGAAAAGAGAACACTTCGCTGAACTAATCTTCGTTACTTCAACACAAACCTCAATATAGCAGTGTTGTACGGATCAGCAACGTGTTTTGCTGATCTGCTACAACCACCATCAACAGATAGGAACATTTCTAAACACTCGTCTATACAAGACAATCCAGGCCAGTGGGTACGAGCAGTCAGCATCCACCTATTGTGGCAGAGAACATACAAACTTCTGTTTGAAGGGGAATTCAACAAAGAATTCTGCAGGTTGATTGGACACACATTGTAAGAACCATCAAACTGCGTCAACAGTCAGGCTGGAAATTGGAATCCCCAGGGCGAAATGAAATGAGGTAGACATAATGAAACGTTGTGCCGGGAA